TCCCGCTCTGTGGTGCCCTTCTACCTCAAGAGATCCAGGTATCAGCCTCATGTGTCCCACCCTCACTACCTGAACCCTTCCTTCCTTGTGCTTCTCCAGATCCATGGCTGATGGCTGTGCCCTCCCGTTATACCATCCAGGGGCCATTTAGAGCCCCTTCTCTCACAGGACCCACTTCCTGGCGCCTGATAGCAATAATAAATCACAGAGAGCAAGCACTCCGGGGACACAGGAAGCTCCAGGTGGGTGTGCAACCTTGCATCTGTCCAGGTGGGTAAGAGGCCATACTCTCCTTGGAACCCTGTGGAAGATCCTACACACATAAAACTCATCAAGGGTGAAGACGCTGCGGTCAGAAAGCCCACGTTTTGGAGAAGCCCCAGAACACAGCACAGGTCACCCGCCCACCAGGCATGACGTACCCAGCAAAGGAAGACATGACTTCTGTAGCATTAGCAATTTTTTATTTTTCCTTTTTTGTTGCATAGGAAATGCAGTACTTGCTTCCAGTAATTGTATTGTAATGTGAGAAGGTGGTAGCACTAACGGTTGAATACAAGAGTTAAACTAATCCACACCAGCTCAAAAACCCTGTGGAGATTTAGTTGATAAGAATGGAGGCCCACAGTGATTCTCAACCAATTACAAGTTTTCACAGAACACAGTAAACGAAAAGGGTAACTATGAGAGTCAATACAAATATGCTAGAGGCACAGGGGGCCCGGCTCATAAAAACAATTTCAGACCAAGTTATTAACACGGGGTGTTTCGTTTCACAATAGGTCTCTTTTTCCATCATTTAAAGTTTTTAATCCTTTCCCCCACAATTTGAAATGAAAATCAGAGGCACTCTGAGCAGACATTTTTTTTTTCCATGTGTGATGGGAAGGGTTACAGGGAGGGGAAAGAAGGATGCATAGACTTCGTCTTGACAGTCTCCCTAAGGACCTAATGGGACCTGCTGGCAGTCCGCGTCTAGTCTGGCTGGCATCTCAGTGGCAAGGTTGCCGAGACCAGCAGAGAGACGGCGGCCTGAGGGGGAAGAGAGCTAGCAGCTCCCTGACACCTGCCTCCTACCATGGCCAGTGGCCTGAGACCCTTGGTGGAGAATGCTAACAGGTTATTAGCAAGAAAAAAAATTTAAAAAACAAGAATACTGCAAGTAACAGCCAAGGGAAAGGAAAACCAGCGTTAGGTATTGGAAGCTGAGCATAGAAGAACAGGAAGAATGGCCTATTCCTTGGATAGCACTTGCCTTTGAAACCACTATAGAGGCAGGAAACTTCGTATTTTCAAGTCTGTGATACTTTCTGCCAGGAATTTGCTCTAGTGAGATCAGAGGTAGGACTTCTCCTGTACCCTCTCGTGGTCCAAATACAGTTTACAAAGTTTGTGTTTCGACCCAGATAGCATGGTGAGTCTACGGGTGGGGATGCATGGCGCACAGAGCAGGGTCCTCGATGTGCTACAGCCCCAGGCTGGAGTTCCCACTTTGCTACCGAGCATTGCTGGGACCTAGTTCCAATATCTTAGCCCTCTAACTTGCTTGCTGGCTTAATGCAACCCTTTGGAGAACGAGGCAGACGGGTGCTGGCTGGTTCAGAGGGAAAATTAAAGAAAAAAAAATCAATTTGGAAAGCAAGTAGTTTCAAATTTAGACCCCAAAAAAGAGCATATTTTAAAAATCCCGTGTTAATAGCAAACTTCTTTCTTATGAATCGAGCCCAAAGTTTGTACAGAGTTATAGTTTGGAAGAAAATATTGCATCTGTGCATGTAACTGAATAGCCATGTGGATTCTCATGACTTTTTTTTTCTGTTTAATATGAGGAAGTCTGGTGTGAGGTGGATCAAGCATGGGTGAACTGTCCATTAAGATGTCAGTGCCGCCTAGCTCCTGTGGAGGGTCACGACAGCGACTCTCACTTGGAAGTGTTCTCAGAGTGGCTTTGCAGTAGCGCTCTTGAAATTCAAATGGTAGTTTTGAGACAAAAAAATCTCACCAGATACTGATTTCTGAAATCAAACACCCATGCTTGTCCCTTAGGAGAAACAAAATGAAACAAAAACAAAAACAAAAAATGAAAACAAAACACACGTAATACTGAATTTAAGTAAGTGTACACCTCCAAGATACTGAAGACAGCCAGAAGGAAGACAGAGTTCGCGTTCTCAGTGAAATACCTCAAACCTAGCTGACAAGAACCAAGGCAGAAAAAAAAGACTAACAGAACTTTGAGTAATATTCATACAGTTCACTAAGCATTATGGAATAGCATGCATAATATTGTACGGTTATCTTACATCACCTATACCAGAGGTCCTGACTGACAGACAGCGAAGGCTACCGGTGTAGAAAAATCTTACTTCAGAAGAGCAGTATAATACAGATTTCACAGGCACTACATTTTAATATATCAGGTATTATGCTGGTTTTCTTATAATTCTTTCTGTCCTAAAGCTGGCATTATAACAATGACCAAAAAGGCAAGGATTGAAGTAAACGGAAAGTAGATACCAAAGTTGATATAGTTTTTTTTTCTTCAGATAGATTAGTGCATAGTTCTCATGCAGATAAACACTGCTATGCATTTACACTGTTGGGAAGCAGAGTGAATTGAGCCCAAGTTGTCACATTTGTGTAAATCATTTTGTCAGCCTGTAATAGCACCATGTAATGGATTTGCATTAAACATGAAATTGATTTCAGAACTGGTGACACAGTGTTCACTACAGTTAAGTGCTATGGAATAGCTTCAATATACCTGCTATATATCAAAGCCATTTTCATTCCGCTGCTTTTCTTATTGGGAAAAATCAAGGGGAAACATACATGACACTAATTAGACGATTGCACAGCCGTGGACGTGGAGAAGGCAGAGCAGGGATTACTGTCAAACAGTAAGTGCATGCATTGGCTTCAAGGCAAAATGTCCTCGGAAGCCGACATACATGAAAGCCATGCCCGAAGGGCGGAGCAGCCTCTGGGACTGTCTAGGAAGGTCTGGCGGCTAGGCTGGGAGGCACCACCAAAGCGCTCCTCACTGACCACACTTTTCGTATTTTACACCTGTGCAATGGAGGCCTGCTACCAGAAACCGGAAAGGAAAAAGAGGCGAAGAAAAAGCAGAAAGACAGAGACACACAGAGAGAAAGAGACAGGGAGGAGAGGATGGCGTGGTGGAGACTAGGGGAGAGACTCTGAGGGGAGGGAATGGCAAATGACATCCTCAAAAACCACTCTCCACCAAAAAGGAAAGAAAAAAAATCACAGGATAAAATGTTTTCCTTTGCAAATAACTCATGATATCACCACTACAGAGGCTGAAGCACACGAGGGTAAGGACCTGGGAAGGCGAAAGATGACCTTTTTGAGATGGGTTTTGCATATTCCTGTGGGCTGACTGAAGACAGCACAGCGTGACTAGCGATTTGGGTCCTGCACACTTGGACTGTCGGGGAAAGAAAACGGAAAGCTGGGAGAATGCCGCCTGGAGGGCCCAACGGGAATTATCCGGGTGATGGCGGCACTGGGTGGGGAATGAGCTAATAGATGACCCGCCAAGAAGAGGCTGAAGAGACATACCTTGGTGGGAAGAGAAGGGCTGGAGGGGTAGGAGCATGGCACCAGAGGGCGTCTGCCCAAGAGGAGTTAGAAAAGGAGCAGTGGCCAGCAGAGGGGCCGAGGGCAAGCAGCGACTGGGAGATGCTGAGAGTTAGTGTTTGTGCCTCTGACTTCAGTTCCCAAAGAAAAAAATCGGGGAGGGGGGGAGTCATTTGAGGGACCACTTTTTGCCAATTGTGTTAATGCCATTTGATGGGAGAGGGGGAAAAAACATCCAACATTTCTCAGAATCAAGGCTGGGCCTTCAGATGCTGATAGCTCTTGAGTCTGTCTGTCTGTCTCTACACCCTTGTAGTAATGTCTTCCTCAAGCACCTTCACTCAGCATTGAACCTAAGACGCAAAACACATGGATTGGTCGGTGTTTTGTTCTTCCTACTTGATGACAACCAAACTACGGTTTCCCGCGGCTTTCTTGACAATGAAGCGTGAACGGAACCGGAACTCAGTGTATCTACTACTTAACCCTTGTTTGCTATCACCCTACGCTGCCTCCACAATGGTTTAGAGCCTTCAAAACATTTTTTTTTCCTGCAATTCTGTTCAGAGTTCCCTAACTTTAGCTTCATCAAACTTAATACAACAAAATACCTTCAACAATACAGCACACCTGTAACGTTCATTTTGCAATGGTTCTTCAGTAGACCTACACTTCTCAAGCATAGGAATATGCTATACCATTGGCGGCAAATAACTGTATTTAAATACTTACAAAAAACAAACAAACGAACAAACAAAAGAGGAAACAGGAAAGTTTTAAACTTAAATCCAGTTCCCAAAGTGGGTTGAAAAACGAAAAAGCAATTCTATGAACGCTGCCTTTGTAATGAACAATCAGAAATTTCACTAGGCTAATTTGACAGAAATTTTTCCTCATTTAGACAACATTACAAAAGTCCTGCATTATAAAATAGGGTAGAATAAATCAGTGTAATCAATAAAACTATACAACGATACAAATTATCTTCTGAGTGGGCAGTCTATCCTCTCTCTTTGCAGCCGTGACTACAACATGCTCACTAAAAACAGCTAAAACTGCCCAAACTATTGCTTAGTTGGTTTTGTTTAAAAAAGGGTGCAATTTTATTGTATATACAACCAATTTCCTGGTAAGACCTTGGCATTTTGCAAGGTTCTGACAAAATGTTTGTCTAGGCTTTCTTCCCTTCACTGTGAAGCACTGAAAGCTGCTATTTTTCTTTCTTTCTTTCTCTCTCTCTCTTTTTTTAGTGCACATATGTCATAATAAAGTAATGCCCAGCTAAGTGCTAGAGGGAAGGCAAAGTAGGCTGCTGGCTATAGGAAGTGACACCGTACACTGACAATCACACCATACAACAGCGCCAAGCGACTATTCAACCACTTATCAGACACATATGAAAATCCAAAATGTTTTATTTTATTTTTTTTCCTTAAATAGAGATAACCAGTAAACAATTTTCAGAACTTGGAAGTTTAAAAACGTGCATATAAAAATGGGCATTATGTACTTTTTATTGAATGTGGATTGACTGCTGTCTGCTAAGAAAAGTGGGTGTGGGGGCTGAAGAGAAAGGAAGTTGTCTTTTTTTTTTTTTAAGGCTTGCTTGTGAAAGGAACAGTTGTAAAAACAAAATTGCTTGAAGCAGGGTCAGCTTAGTGCTTCACAGTTTGACTGCTTCTCTAAGAGGAGCCCTTCCTGCACACGTGCATCAAAAACCACAGAAAATACAAAGACAGACACCTAAAAACACACTGCGTCAAATGCAGCACTGACTTTGGTCAAATAAAAAAAAAAAAGAAAAACTAATAATTGCTAAGCTTTTCTACATGATATAAGCAGGTATTGCATATTTTCATATATCTGGGGGAAAATAAAGGAAGACTCCAAATAAATTGAAAAAAAAATGCAGCAACATCCCAAATACTGATATTGTAAGCATCTACAGAGCTCAGAATAGCACTGCCACTGACCACACAGGACAATCAGGACTACGCCTGTCTGCGGAACAGCTAACTTTCTATTTAGGTCTAGATGTTGAAATGGACGATGGCTGACATAAAGTTACATTTACAAAAAGTGTCTCCGAATGCTCGAGTAGGGAGAACCCCTTCAAACAGAGGGGCGTGTGCAACAATTCCACAAGTCACCACTATCCAGGGCAAGGCACATTGATATGGAATTTTTGTTTTCGTGCAAATTAAGGAAAAAAATAAAAACAAAACAACACCGTTTGGGGGTAAAGATGAGGAGCAAAGTGTCTTCCCAAGAATTTCAGTCACTTGATTGTATAGGACAGTAGTTGAGCCCTTCTGAAGGGCTGAGACAGTTTAAAGGCTAGTGCCTAGAGTGAGTTACAATATTGTCTTAATGCACTCTACTTTATCCTACATTAGCTATATAAAAATTAGTTACTAACACTAGAACATGCAGAGACTTCCTCCGGCCAGCAGGGCCTGCCAGCCAGAACACATATATATGTATAGCATAGGAAACCTTGACGTTGCATGGGAAGCAAGGGGGTGCTTCGCTGTCTGGTAGAAAAATCACTTGCATTTTTTTTGTTTGTTTCTGCTTTTTTATTTTTTTGTTCTTTTTTTTGATCTTTTTTGTCTTTTTTTTTGTTTTTAAACATAAGATACAAGACATTGGGGGGGGTGTGTGAACTTTTTTTCGTTTTTCCTAACGAGTACCCTTGATCTGAATGGGCACCAGCAGTTGTTTCTCTATCCGAGGTGTTGGATTAAAGTTTCCCATAGCCCAGTTCAGGGCTTGCAAAGGGTCTTTGAAACTTCTGGACAATGTCTGGTACAATGAGGCGCTTGATAACTGATTGATCTGGTGTTGCCATACACATGTAAAAATTTCCAGAATTGGCATAATTCATTATAGTGATTTCTAGCTTATAAAATTAACAGATACCATGATTTCATTTGAGTTATGTGCTTTGATAACAGAAAATAATTAATTAGCATTTAATGTAGTTAACATATTGTGGTAAAAGCACCATTAGATTTGTATTTTTTTGTTTTTTTTTAAATTTTCCTTCAGTTTTTTTTAAAGGGATACAAGTTTAACAATAAAAAACATAAAAAGCAAAAATAGCTCCCCTTTTTCTTGCAAGGCTGTTTTTTACCCCAATAATTTAGAGTCCTGGGGTGGAAGGACTTGAAAAACAAAAATAGAATTTTCAACAATCTCTATCTTACAAAGATACTTAGCTATCCAATGAAATTGCACTTCACTCAATTCAAAATTCGATTGTTTTGATTCCTGTCAGTTTCTGTCAAAACAGACCATCTTCCCCATTTCCATGTGAATTTTTGTGTCATTGTTGAAATTGTTGAAAAATGTTTTTTTTTTTAATGTAAGTGCAGCATTTCTAAACTTGAGAACACAACAAATGAGAGCAGTAGTCTTTGCCGTCCTTTGGGAATTGTTCTGCAACACGGGTGGGTTCACTGTCCTTGCGGGCTGTGTTGTGTATGTAACTGCTGACTGCTGAACCAAACCAAACGAAAAGAAAGATCAACGCAACTGCATTTTCTTTTTCTACTATGTTACAGGAAAAAAAAAAAAAAAACCAAAAAAGAAAAAAAAAAAACCATTGCCCTTTGAGTGTCCTGTAAGTTACAGATCGCAGATCTCAGCTACTACAAAAGATTCCATTCTCCAGGTGCTCCAGATGCTCAGGGAGGGGCACCCCTGCGTGGGCAAAGTCATGAAATACTGTGAAAAGGCCAGGCTCGTAAGGGAAGTGTGTTACACAGGAAGTTAGTGAGCAAGGCTCCTCCTCTGCCAGCCACTTCACCTAATGCTCACACCACCACCGAAACACTTCAAATGTCACACAGCCCAACCATTTCCAGCACCATATGAGAAATTACGACAGTCCCTAAAGTATTTTTTTTTAAAAAAAAAAAATCCCGAAAGGTTATGGCCTTTGCTGTTTGACCATGATGCTTGCTGTTTCCATGTCCAAGTTGATTCGAGTCGGTTTTTCTCCCCTTCCACTGACAGTGAAGTTGTAACTGCGCTGGGTTGAGGTTGCGTCCATGTTACAGAGTTGAGAAGGGGTCAGGTGGTCTGTCTGGTTGATGGTGGGACGCTGCAACTTTTATCCCAGGTACCAGGACTGGAAGACAAAGAGAAGAGTGCACTTAGAAATGCAGGTGCATGCTGGGATTTGGCACACGGGCTTGACCAGCGTGTGCTAAGCCCGCAGAGATCCTCAGTGTACAAACACAAAAATGTGCAAGTTTGTAAAACTACTTTGAAAGTTGCTTTTTGAACCAAGGGATCAGAACTGACCTTGGAGGTTTATGTGGCCAAGGAATGGCAGGTGACAGCAAATCCCAAGCCACTGAAATTGAAATCTCATTCCTCTGACATTAAAAGTCATTATTTTGGTTGGGGTTTGCCAGTGTTTTGAGCATGTCTTACTAAGTGATGCTTTTCTGGCCACACGACATTCACATCAGGTTTTGTAACCTAGCAGGGAGCCGTTAAAAGAGGGCAAGGAACCTGGCTATGTTATTAGCACCTCGCTCAGTGATGGGTGGGCTCAAGAAAGAGAAGCAAAGTGGCTGAAGGGTGAGGTTAGGCGCTGCAGAGAGTAGTTATTGCTATGATTTTCTCAGTATATTTTTCAGTGAGGTGTAGGTGCTAAAAACAGGTACTAAACATAAACACGACATTCTGTGAACATGCCATGTGGCTGGTGGAGGCAGCCAAAACAGAAAAGTCTGGTGGGAAACAGTGGATTGGTGGCCTGGGGTATCGGGAAGCCATTGTCACGAGAGAGAACGTAGGGTGCTAATTCATCTTCCTCCCAGGTGAATAGACCTAGTTTTATATTCTTCTCTTAGAAGAGATCAGTAGGACTACACCTTATGAAGCATCATCAGGTTCAAGGAGAAAATAGGCCACTGCTTAGTCCTCATTCATGTTTCTATCCGCTCCCCGTGCCAGTGGAGCTGCCTCTCAGCGTGTGCACCCTTCTTACGTCCGTTGCGTCTATGTCCAGGTGACCACGTTTATCAGCAAAGAAAGTCAGCTAAACAAAATGACCAACTACAGACAAATACCAGTGTCGGTTTCCCAAGTGATGTTCAGCAGTGTGCGGCTTTTGCCAGCTTTCCTCTAAGTGCCCTCGAGAACGCACTGCGTTTGCTGGGAGTCAGAGAGTCCAGCAGCTTGTAGGCAGAGCTAAGGGCTCCGTGTTCGGACGCCGACAGCATCAACTATGGTTACATCAGAACTGATCCCGGAGGGCTAAGGTTCACTCTTGTCAGAGAGCTACAATTAGGAAACGTCGGGACTCCTTTGATCCCCGGGATCCAGGGCTAAATGGCAGCTCCATGGAAGTTGGTGTAAGATTTCCTGCTAACAACAGGCTACCTTTGATTTCCAGAGAAGCTTTAAAAAACAAAACAAAACAAACCACAAAACCACTCATCCTGTAGCCTCGTAGATGTTAACTCTCTGGCCGTGCGCTTTGGGGAACACAAGAAAGCTGCTTCTAGCTGGAAAGGAAATCACCCTGGCAAGCACACATGGCCTAAATCTAGGCGGACAAAAGGAAGATGAGTGAGAAAGAAAGCGAGGGCCGCAGGCCCCAAGCTCTATCTGTGCTAAGTCTCTCCTTAGAGCTGACTCAGATTGCTTGCCACATGCTCTCTGGTACACCCCAGGCTGAAACCAAGCGGCCAGCGCTGGTCGCAATCTGTCTGCATGCTTTCTAAGGCAGTTGTGAAATTCGGGACCTTTTCCATGTGACAGTCAGGACTTCTTGAAGCAAAGGCTTGGAACCTGGCGAGTCAGCAGGGGGAGCAGTTTTCCGTTCCACTGGACTCAGGACACTACAAAACCCAGCAGTGCCCTGTACTTCTGTTAAAAAGCAAAGCAAAGCAAAGCAAAGCAAAGAAAAAAAAAAGTTTCTTCACACATCTTACTATTCAGTGTGTGCCTCGCCCACAAGGTTACCCCAGAGCAGCTCTGTAACCCTTCACTGAAATAGGCTTTATTGATTGCTCTGCTCTATTGTTCTCTTTTCAAGTCCCCCAAGTTCAAGTTCATCCTGGTGTTACATCATGTCTGGTTGCTCTTAGCAACCAGACAGACCCAGACGTGACTATCATTAGCAAGAAACCCTCTGCTCTCCTCCCACCAACCTTCCAGTGGTTCTGACGTAGCAGGCCCACTGCAAACACACTGAAGTATTTATTCTGCCTAATTTATGACCTACCCAGCAAGCTAGACCCCCACTCCAAAAACCAACACTGTTGTATATTTAATTAATCTGTCTTTCTTTGGCATTTGAGAAAGTTAGACAAAGGACTAATTATTGTGTTTCCCTCTCCACACTTTTCTATGGGGGGGGGCGAATATGTGCATGGGAAAGAAAACTATGAGGCCCAGCATCGGCCCCTCCCCTTTTTCTTTCTGCCCTATTGACATTTCATGAAATACTTTAGCTGCTTAACGGAGTTAGGAGAAAAAAAAAAAAACCTACACTGTGAATGTTACTCCTTCTGAGTTGGTATTCAGTAACACAAATCAACTCATGACATGTTTAAATTTAAATGCTAACCACACACTCTCAGAGTTACTTTAAAGGTTAGTTTTTAATCAATAGAAGTTGCTGACTCTGGGTTTTTGAGCCGCACACTGCAACTCTCGGGCTTTTGTCTAATGGTAAAGCTTGGGAACTTTCTTCCTTGAGATGATTTTAGCAATGATTTGCAGACACAGAGGCTATTGTGTTCCCACCAGTAACATGTCAATAGAGGAGCCGAGCAGCCCTGTGGTGGGGTGTCAATATGACTCCTAAGGCAGGGGTTGGGGGTCTTTAATAACCCATGAAAAAAACCTTAATTAACCCTTTCAGGCCCAAACCAAACCCCATTCTTCCACTTTTCACTCCTGTAATTTGACCATTAGTACTTATTTCAACATCACACTAATCTTCATGACAATTAACCCAGCTACTTGACCAAGGGCTTCCAGAATGGGAAGTCAGTTAGGGGAACCACACACGAACTTTTTTTTTTTCTTTTTCTTTTTTTTGAATGAGGTTTCTTAGTAAACAATCTATAGAAATATAGTAGAGAAACACTTGTAACAAACAATAAGAAATCCATCTACTTTGTCAGCTTTTCTGTCCATCAGTTTGTAGTTGAAGACACTGCTAACAGCAAGGAGTGGGCAGTCACCCACACAGAGGTGCCCCTGGATTTCTATAAGCTTCTATCAATTGCTAATCACATCGGATGGATGGGAGAATACCAGGAAAAGTCTTTTTTATTTTTCTTACATTTTCCTTTAATGTCTGATATTTGAAAACATTGCAAGTTTGAGAACACTCACTCAAGAATGACTCTGCACCTTCCTTCTTGGGACCGGGAAAAAAAACATAGAGAAGGAATCTGAGGCTGGTAAATTCTTGGGTTGAATCAAATCATTGGGAAAATACCGGCACATGAAACAAAATTCATCTGTGGAGAGTCAAAAAATCATCCTCAGATCTGACGTCTGCTTGGGTTTCATATGGCTTCTGCCTACATACTTTATAGTCCCTTAATCTGCTCTACTGTATCCAGGCCACTACAAAGGAGTCTCTGTCCCTTATCTGCAGCGAGTGGCAATATTATAGTACAGCATCGGAGGATGTTATCTTGATACATTTACATTGAGGAAGTAAACGCTGAGCTTTGATCTACTTTTTTTTTTTCCTGCAAGAACATTCGACTGCAGTTGATTTGGTGGCCCATAAATCCACACTCCCACAAAGGCTCTAGTTTCAGAAAATTAGCCAGTTCCATTTGCAATGTCCACGGTTCGGGATGTTCCAGGGGTGGGAGGGAACCTGTCTGCTTTCAGTGCTCAAGGTGAAACATCAAAAGGAATCTGCAGCCCAAGACAAGAGCTCAGCTTTCCCTCTAGCTGGTCAGATGGAGAAGTAATCTCATCAGGTTGGAAAGTGCTGACTCAGTATTTAATAAAGTGCCCGCAGATGTGGCGTCTCTAAGGTATTCAACTCATGTAATGCAAAACAGCTCTGCGCTGAACGCGCTTATAAAATTTCATTTAACCATTGCAGCACAGTCCTTGGAGGGGTTTTATCACACGTCCCGCCCCTTAATTTACAGCTCCATGAAAGTTCCAGTCCCATTCTGTGGGGATTCTGGAATGCTCACAGTAGTCAGGATTTACGAACCATAAACAGCCGCCATCCCACTGCACCCTAAACAAGAGGGTTGAGGCGGCAGTAGGCACCCTGACAGCAGCAGTCCGTTTCTTCTCTTGTGCCTCGCTGTGAGCAATTACAAGATGGAGTTGGTTCTGAGTCTACTGAAGACGGGCAACCAAGCCAGCGGGCTCAGCTCCTTGTGAACAACCAATAGTCTAACACATACAACATCTTATAGAGCCTTTTACGGGTCTCTCTCTCTCTCTCTACTCAGAGGGCAGGGCATACATTTTAAAATCAAGAAGGAAATAGACCTGAGATAATTATATTTCACTTGGTGGTGGTGGTGGTGGTGCCATGGAGGGCAGGACAGAGTGTGACGGCAGAATCTGTTTTTCAAATTAAAAAGTTAAACAAAAGGCCTCAAGGGCAAAGTTTAACGCTGAACGGAAGGAGGTTGTTAATGTGGAATCCAGAACTGGGCGTGACTCTTAGCTTTCTTCTCCCAGCAAGGTGGGTTATTTAAGGACATTTACACACATAAACGGAAGCAGGAATACACAGGAAGCTCCCCCCTCCAACACAAGGGACACAGCAGGCAATCGGCTCGAGTGCAGCTACCATTTTGACCCTCCTGGTGATGCTACCTCTGCTGGACCACACTAATCCACTCAGTCATTTTTGGCTTCCTGTTCTTGTTTGCATGAACTAAGCCTACTTTTTAGCACAAATGAGTTGTCTTTGGCAACTAAGCCAAAAGCCTGGGGGGCCCACCCCCATCTCTGACACAGAAGGAGTAGACAGACCTTGGTGTGGACTCCTGGCTTCTCCTTGTAGGATTAACCATTTGGGAGTCCTGAGTCACTTGGTCAGTAAGCGCTAATGGTCTGCAGTCTGAGGCTCTGGGAATGTTAGGAGTAGAGAAATGTGGCCTCTGCCTTTAA